TATATGTGTCTGTTACCTTCATTCTGTATATGTGTCTGTTACCTTCATTCTGTATATGTGCATGTTACCTTCATTCTGTATATGTGCATGTTACCTTCATTCTGTATATATGTGTGAGTCACCTTCATTCTGTATATGTGCATGTTACCTTCATTCTGTATATATGTGTGAGTCACCGTCATTCTGTATATGTGTCTGTTAGCTTCATTCTGTATATGTGTCTGTTACCTTCATTCTGTATATGTGTCTGTTACCTTCATTCTGTATGTGTGTCTGTTACCTTCATTCTGTATGTGTGTCTGTTACCTTCATTCTGTATATATGTGTGAGTCACCTTCATTCTGTATATATGTGTGAGTCACCTTCATTCTGTATATGTGTCTGTTACCTTCATTCTGTATGTGTGTCTGTTACCTTCATTCTGTATATGTGCATGTTACCTTCATTCTGTATGTGTGTCTGTTACCTTCATTCTGTATGTGTGTCTGTTACCTTCATTCTGTATATATGTGTCAGTCACCTTCATTCTGTATATATGTGTGAGTCACCTTCATTCTGTATATGTGTCTGTTACCTTCATTCTGTATATGTGCATGTTACCTTCATTCTGTATGTGTATCTGTTACCTTCATTCTGTATGTGTGTCTGTTACCTTCATTCTGTATATATGTGTGAGTCACCTTCATTCTGTATATATGTGTGAGTCACCTTCATTCTGTATATGTGTCTGTAACCTTCATTCTGTATATATGTGTCTGTTACCTTCATTCTGTATATGTGTCTGTTACCTTCATTCTGTATGTGTGTCTGTTACCTTCATTCTGTATATATGTGTGAGTCACCTTCATTCTGTATATATTTGTGAGTCACCTTCATTCTGTATATGTGTCTGTTACCTTCATTCTGTATATGTGTCTGTTACCTTCATTCTGTATATATGTGCATGTTACCTTCATTCTGTATGTGTGTCTGTTACCTTCATTCTGTATATGTGTCTGTTACCTTCATTCTGTATATGTGTCTGTTAGCTTCATTCTGTATATGTGTCTGTTACCTTCATTCTGTATATGTGTCTGTTACCTTCATTCTGTATATGTGCATGTTACCTTCATTCTGTATACATGTGTGTATAACCTTCATTCTGTATATGTGCATGTTACCTTCATTCTGTATATATGTGTGAGTCACCTTCATTCTGTATATATTTGTGAGTCACCTTCATTCTGTATATGTGTCTGTTACCTTCATTCTGTATATGTGTCTGTTACCTTCATTCTGTATATATATGCATGTTACCTTCATTCTGTATATATGTGCATGTTACCTTCATTCTGTATGTGTGTCTGTTACCTTCATTCTGTATATGTGTCTGTTACCTTCATTCTGTATATGTGTCTGTTAGCTTCATTCTGTATATGTGCATGTTACCTTCATTCTGTATATATGTGTGTATAACCTTCATTCTGTATATGTGCATGTTACCTTCATTCTGTATATATGTGTGAGTCACCTTCATTCTGTATATGTACATGCTACCTTCATTCTGTATATGTGCATGTTACCTTCATTCTGTATATGTGTCTGTTACCTTCATTCTGTATATGTGTCTGTTACCTTCATTCTGTATATGTGTCTGTTACCTTCATTCTGTATATGTGTCTGTTACCTTCATTCTGTATATGTGTGAGTCACCTTCATTCTGTATATGTGTCTGTTACCTTCATTCTGTATATGTGTCTGTTACCTTCATTCTGTATATATGTGTGAGTCACCTTCATTCTGTATATATGTGCATGTTACCTTCATTCTGTATATGTGTCTGTTACCTTCATTCTGTATATGTGCATGTTACCTTCATTCTGTATATATGTGTGTATAACCTTCATTCTGTATATGTGCATGTTACCTTCATTCTGTATATATGTGTGAGTCACCTTCATTCTGTATATGTGCATGTTACCTTCATTCTGTATATATGTGTGTATAACCTTCATTCTGTATATGTGCATGTTACCTTCATTCTGTATATATGTGTGAGTCACCTCCATTCTGTATATGTGCATGTTACCTTCATTCTGTATATATGTGTGAGTCACCTTCATTCTGTATATGTACATGTTACCTTCATTCTGTATGTGTGTAACCTTCATTCTGTATATGTGTCTGTTACCTTCATTCTGTATATGTGCATGTTACCTTCATTCTGTATATATGTGTGTATAACCTTCATTCTGTATATGTGCATGTTACCTTCATTCTGTATATATGTGTGAGTCACCTTCATTCTGTATATGTACATGTTACCTTCATTCTGTATGTGTGTAACCTTCATTCTGTATATGTGCATGTTACCTTCATTCTGTATATGTACACGTTACCTTCATTCTGTATGTGTGTTACCTTCATTCTGTATATGTGCATGTTACCTTCATTCTGTATATATGTGTGAGTCACCTTCATTCTGTATGTGTACATGTTACCTTTATTCTGTATATGTACATGTTACCTTCATTCTGTATATATGTGTGAGTCACCTTCATTCTGTATATGTGCATGTTACCTTCATTCTGTATATGTCACCTTCATTTTGAATATGTGTGTCACCTTCGTCTGTACATGTGTGTTACCTTCAGTCTGTATATGTCTGTCACCTTCTCTCTTTATATGTGTCTCACCTTCATTCTGTACATGTGTGTTGCCTTCATTCTGTATGTGTGTCACCTTCATTCTGTACATGTGTGTGTTGCCTTCATTCTGTATGTGTGTTACCTTCATTCTGTATGTGTGTCACCTTCATTCTGTACATGTGTGTGTTGCCTTCATTCTGTATGTGTGTCACCTTCATTCTGTACATGTGTGTGTTGCCTTCATTCTGTATGTGTGTTACCTTCATTCTGTATGTGTGTCACCTTCATTCTGTACATGTGTGTGTTGCCTTCATTCTGTATGTGTGTGTTGCCTTCATTCTGTATGTGTGTCACCTTCATTCTGTACATGTGTGTGTTACCTTCATTCTGTATGTGTGTTACCTTCATTCTGTATGTGTCACCTTCATTCTGTATGTGTGTCACCTTCATTCTGTTTGTGTGCATGTTACCTTCATTCTGTATGCGTGTCACCTTCATTCTGTATATGTGCATGTTGCCTTCATTCTGTATGTGTGTTACCTTCATTCTGTATATGTGTCACCTTCATTCTGTATGTGTGTCACCTTCATTCTGTATATGTGTCACCTTCATTCTGTATGTGTGTTACCTTCATTCTGTATATGTGTCACCTTCATTCTGTATGTGTGTTACCTTCATTCTGTATATGTGTCCCCTTCATTCTGTATGCGTGTCACCTTCATTCTGTATATGTGCATGTTGCCTTCATTCTGTATGTGTGTTACCTTCATTCTGTATATGTGTCACCTTCATTCTGTATGTGTGTCACCTTCATTCTGTATATGTGTATGTTGCCTTCATTCTGTGTGTCACCTTCATGCTGTATGTGTGTCACCTTCATTCTGTATGTGTGTCACCTTCATTCTGTATATGTGTATGTTGCCTTCATTCTGTGTGTCACCTTCATTCTGTATGTGTGTCACCTTCATTCTGTATATGTGCATGTTCATTCTGTATGTGTCACCTTCATTCTGTATGTGTGTCACCTTCATTCTGTATGTGTGTCACCTTCATTCTGTATGTGTGTCACCTTCATTCTGTATATGTGTATGTTGCCTTCATTCTGTGTGTCACCTTCATGCTGTATGTGTGCCATCTTCATTCTGTATGTGTGTCACCTTCATTCTGTATGTGTCACCTTCATTCTGTTTGCGTGTCACCTTCATTCTGTATGTGTGTCACCTTCATTCTGTATATGTGTATGTTGCCTTCATTCTGTGTGTCACCTTCATGCTGTATGTGTGCCATCTTCATTCTGTATGTGTGTCACCTTCATTCTGTATGTGTCACCTTCATTCTGTATGCGTGTCACCTTCATTCTGTATGTGTGTCACCTTCATTCTGTATATGTGTATGTTGCCTTCATTCTGTGTGTCACCTTCATGCTGTATGTGTGCCATCTTCATTCTGTATGTGTGTGTCATCTTCATTCTGTATGTGTCACCTTCATTCTGTATGCGTGTCACCTTCATTCTGTACGTGTCACCTACATTCTGTATGTGTGTCACCTTCATTCTGTATATGTGCATGTTGCCTACATTCTGTGTGTCACCTTCATGCTGTGTGTGTGCCAACTTCATTCTGTGTGTGTGTGTGTGTCACCTTCATTCTGTATTTTGTATGTGTGTGTCACCTTCATTCTGTATGTGTGTCACTTTCATTCTGTGTATGTGTCACCTTCATTCTGTATGTGTCACCTTCATTCTGTATATGTGCATGTTGCCTTAATTCTGTACGTGTGTCACCTTCATTCTGTATGTGTGCCACCTTCATTCTTTATGTGTGTGTGTCACCTTTATTCTGTATTGGTGTGTGTCACCTTCATTCTGTATGTGTATCACCTTCATTCTGTATATGTGCATGTTGCCTTCATTCTGTATGTGGGTCACCTTCATTCTATATATATGTGTGTGTGTGTTTGTTAGCTTCATGATGGGTGTTCTGGTACGTTACCTTCATTCTGTATATATGTGGATGCATGACCTTAATTCTTGATAAGTGGATGTGTGTGTGTTACCTTCATTTTATCTCTATGTGTTTTATACCTTCATTCTGAATATGTGTTACATTCATTTTGGATGTGTGTGTGTTAGCGTCATTCTGGATGTGTGTGTGTTACCTTCATTCTGGATGTGTGTGTGTTACTTTTAATCTGGATGTGTGTCAACTTCAAGTTTTATGTGTGTGTGTTATATTCTTCATTCTGAATATGTGTGTTACCTTCATTTTGGATGTGTGTGTGTGTGTGTGTGTGTGTGTGTGTGTGTGTGTGTGTGTGTGTGTTAACTTCATTCTGAATATGTGTTTTTCCTTCATTCTGGAAATGTCTTTTACCTTCATTTTCGATAGCATCAAATCTCTTTTCCAGCTCCTCTACTGTAGATTTGAGTTCTGAAGCTGACTGATCAAGCATCTCCCTGAAGCAACAACATGGGTAAGTAAACAGGGGCGTTATAAACATATATACCATCTACAGCTACAATATATAACATAGACATATAGCCTATCTACAGCGAATAACATGTGGCTTAGCGGCACAGTGAACGTGCTGTATTTTGATTGAAATCAGATCTGACAAGTATCTAACCCGAGCAGTGCGCCTTGACATCTCGCACGTCATGACTTCTTGTTGTAAATGCACATATAACGGTGAAATGAGTTCAAGTAACTATTTGTCTTTTCTATACACGAAATAAAGCCTTACTTCATTTGGTTTTCTTGCTGAATTTCTGCACGAAGCTTTTCTAATTCAAAGTTCCTCATCGTGTCAGCCGCCATATTGGATCGCTACAACGTTGCTATGTACATTGTGACGTCACATGGAATATCCCAACATTCTATTTATAGTTCGTCGAATGAAGATCGTGAAGAAACTCCCTTTTGGCTCGGGCAAAATAACTCAAACAGAAGGTGCTTAGGTTCGCAATCCTTTGACAGCTTTAGTGGTAGTGTGTACATTAATTAAGTAAGCGTTTGTATGGAAACTCACCAAACTTTATTTTGTTGTATATGTAATTGCTTTTTTTAATAATGTACAGGTGAATTGTTTGATAGGCATTACTTAAAAGTTGACGGATGACAAAGTAGAGACAATTTATGGATAACAACTCCTTTATTTACTGTAAATCTATATAATGGAATTCTGTGAGCATTCATGGATGGGAAACCTGTAGAAAATATCTTAAGGATGCAAATATTAATTGCAATTGTGTTAACATGCATATTCTTCATTAACATTTCACAGCGTACAGGTTCGGTGGAGGTGATCGAATTGCTAGTTTTTAATTTCATATTTGTTTCGTTTGTTTTGATCATATCATAGGCATTTTTATAGCAATTTCATATTTATCAATAACATACTTTGTTAGGCAATACCATTTTACAAGTCGTGTAATTTATTTGACGCCGCTGTTTAATTAAATCTCGTGCTATTGTTGTTTATTAACTACACATCTCTCCAGTTACAATCGGTTGATAAGCCATTTACAATTTCTATCTGTCTCTCCGACCCTGAATAGGATATCCTTCTACCATTAGCGTGAGTAAACATATCCCTGCTTGAATACTGTTTCTTTCTTTGACAGGAAGAGCCCAATTTATCTTTTGTTTCTTACAAGTAATATTTTTTTTAAAAACAGGTGCAAAATCTTTGTTATTGTTTTGTACGGCGTACAGCCTGTCTTGGCCCCGCTCCACAAAGTGATCTCAGCTCTAAGGTGACTCCCATCTTATACATAAGCTTTCGATAGCGTTGAGCTAAGATCGCTTTCCGGAAGGGCCCCTGCTGTACAGGTGGACGATCGATCACCGCTACACACTGTCTCCATGGCAACACTGTGTGTCAACATCATAGACTTATTTCCAACCAACAGTGTGGCTTATAGCCGTGTTGAGTCGATAGTGATGTATTATGCATGATGTCAACTGAATGTGTTTTGATGTCAACGAGCAGAGCTAAAATTCATTTACGATAAATTGTTTTAGGTACTTTATTTCGTTACTTGTTTCCAGGTATGAAACGAATTTCAAATTTCCCACTTCACTGAAGCTTTAGCATCACGTTTCGTCGCTAGAGTATGCAAGACTGATCATTTGACACGTTTTCTGTTTGGAAGTTGAAGCAGGCGACTTATTTTGAAACGTTTAGTAACATTAATTTAGAAATGTTTTCGTGAAAATTGGTAACCGTTTACATTAACTATTTATGTACAAGTTTGCGGTGTCCGATACTTATTGCCATGTTTGTACACTGAGATGTTTGTTGATTAAAGTGAAATATATTTAAAGCTGACGGCAAAATACTTTATTGTCAACGTATCTGTTCAAGGTGGTAACATTTCTATCTTACCTTTATGTCCCTAAGATTCCGTAAATGCAATAATGATTTCATTGTTATAATGACAGGAACATGAACAGTTCAGTGAGTGAGTGAGTGAATATGGTTTTACGCCGCTTTTAGCAATATTCCAGCAATATCACGGCGGGGCACACCAGAAATGGAACAGTTCAGTGAGATACCGATGTTTGAATGAGCTGTTGTATTGCAGAATGATATATACATCGGTGTAACGTATTTGTTGTTTTTGGTAACCTAACAGATAAAAAGGTTTTGTTTTTTTTGTTTTTTAAAAAGGAAAACGTTTTCATGATAAAGTCATTTAGTTGACATACTATGCACTTGATCCAAATCTGTTCATTTTACAATTTTTTAAATAAAATAAAATGTTAGTTGCACCAAACTCTTGAAGTATGATAAAATAATTTCCTTCTAATGTAAAAATATCCAAGAAGAATTAAAGCTTATTCATTTATGAGAATCGTCAATAATTTCATACATCATCAGTTTGTTTTTTTTCCAGGCCGTGATTCTGAACACTGTAAACTACTGGAAGCGAATGTGCAGAGACTATATTATGACGTCGAAGAGGCACGTTCATTATAAACCATTCACGATGTCAACAATGTGTTATTTATAAACGCACAGTAGTTACCATATACAGATATATGGTCACTGCAAATACTTAGTTTTACCAAGTTTGATTAGAAATTGGATTGCAAAATGAACAAGTAATTGCACTATTTTTACTCTGTGCCATGGTTGAGCATGGCAACCAGCTGTACCCAGGATACTTACAATGTGGGCCGTAATCCGATTGAAACATGCGGAATTTATTTTACACTATTCAGACAGATTAACAAAGTTTTAAAACGTCATTTTAAGAAGAAATGTCAAATAGAAAAGGTATTTTATTTATGTAAAGTAAATAAAAAGATGTTGTGCCGGATCAATATTGTTCTGATTAGTGTAATTTGAACACGTTTTCGAAAATATTTAATTTCTTCAGAGGACTGAAATTGCATATATTATCGCAGCACAAAAATTCCCTATTTGATGAAATCATTTTTTTTATAGCTAACTAGTCCAGCAATTTACGCTACTCTTTCATTATCCTTTGTACCTAACATAGATAGAATAAATTACTATAATTCCTTTAATAAAAGGCTTCTGAAATCTTGAGAAAAGGCTGGGATGCACTGTTCACTGAAGTTACTCGTTCAGGTTTGAACAAATAAGACCTGTCTACATATTTACTGAATACATCCAGTGCAGAAGTTGACAATGTTTCAAAAGCATTGTATCCAAGTGATGCCCAGATTCATCTGTAGTGTTATGGTAACTGCTGATTGGTCAGTAAAAATGACAACTTGAACCAAAAAGTTGAATGACGTCATTTTGTAACGTAATGGCGTCATATAACAACAGGCAACGTCAGATCTCGACAGGAGACAAGTATGCCGCCTCACAAATTGGCGTGTTCAGAATGTAAGTGGGTAATGCACAGAAGAACTCACTTGGTTTTCGTGAACACGGAAAATCTGTCACTCATTAATTAGCAATAAGTTCACTCGTGACACATTTTCCGTAAACAAGGGTACCTGGTTTGTTATTAAATAAATGCAAAACCTCACCCCACCACTGTCCCGGATTCAAATGTTTGCCCCACCCCATGTGTAAACACAATTCCTCTCATCCGTTATGGCAGTGCTTTTATTTTATTTTATTTTGATTCAAGTGTATATCTGAAATCATTAAAAATAATTGGTTACATGATCTTCTCATATGGTCATTGACATTCACTCACATCTGCAGACATTCCCATCTTCTTCTATTAAATATGGGTTTCTGAAGAGAATAAGTGCATTTTCAATAATATATGACACTTCAGGGGATAGATGTGATTATTTACTAAATTTATTCTCGTAACCTGTCTGTTTCGGTAAAGGGTCCAATTAAAGTGATTATAATAATATATTGGAGAGGGTTAGAGGGAAGCTATTCTATGATCAAATATATCAATCGTTTACTTTTATGTAGGTAGTATTTTGAGTTGGAAAAAGGTAACTTGATTTTTTACATATTGTGCACGTGCTGTTAACGGAGAATGAATGAGGTATGAGTAGTGAGTAGTATGCCGGACGACTTCACTCATGATGTTATGTATTCATACGTCACTGCGATTCTGAGAAAAGACAAATCTGCACCAATTCGATACTAAAAATGTGCCATTATATGGTGTGTAAGAACAGATTACTGCACTCGTGCCTATCAGAAATCTTACCACAGGTGATTAAAACCTATCTAACGAGCGAAAGTCTTTCGTTCATGAGGGAGGTGACAACATTCTGACGAATGAAGCTTGACAAAGGTTTCAGCACGCTGGGCTCCACGGCTCCTGAACCCTGATTAAAAACGATCCAGGTTCATCATCTCTCGTGAGAATTTACTCCGTTTTGAAACAGACCCAGCTGATTTTGTACAACCATTTATAACCACGGACGAGTCTTTGGGTCACCAATATCAGCCAGGGACTAAACAACATCATAACAGTGGAATCATCTAACGCCCGAAGCAGAAGGAGGAAAGGTCACACCATTAATGGCCAACAAAATGCTGATCTGCTTAGACAACTGTGTGAGACTACCAAGGCTAAAGGACGTGGAAAACTCACTGAAGGTGTGTTGTTCCACCAGGACAATGCACCTGTGCACAAATCTGTAGTCGCCATGGCTGCAGTGCATGACTGTTGCTTTGATCTCATTGATCATTCTCCGTATTCACCAGATTTAGCACCATCAGATTTCCACTTCTCGGGGGCGATTTTTTAAAACATATTTTTAATAACCAACTACTTCAACGCAGTCGACCCGTGAAGATCCAGGGTTGAATAGGTCTCCAGCAACCCATGCTTACTTTAAAAGGCGACTATGCTTGTCTTAAGAGGCGACTAACGGGATCGGGTGGTCAGGCTCGCTGACTTGGTTGATACATGTCATCGTATCCTAATTGCGTGGATTGATGCTCATGATGTCAATCACTGGAACTCAGGTTCTCGATTAAAAAAGTCGACATTGTATT